TTCCAGGGGACGGTCGCTTAGGCTAAAAAAAATAGCGTAACGATGTCGTAACGATTTTGAAATATATACCGTTGCCACGAACAAGTTTTTTTTCCAGATTAATTGAAAAAAGATATTTTACCTCATCAAAAAACTGAAAAGAACTGTAAGGTGAAAATATTGCGCTAGTTCTTCTCCTTCGTTCGTTTTTCTGCGAATTGATTTCTATAACGAAATGAAAAGAGCAGTTTAGTATTTAGAAGAGCTATAGGTACATAATCGATCCATCATTATACTGACAAAATTACCGTAGTGATATGAAATATAGTGTAGCTATATGCAGGGAAAGCGCAAGAGCATTAAACAAATAAACTCACCTCGACATTTCGAAACAGTGATAAGACCAAGAGTGGATAGGAAATTGAGTTTCTATGATAGAGACAAAATATCACGTGTAATTTTATTGTTCCATAAAGACTCATACCTCGTCTGTGTTGATTTTTGGGGTATTGCTTTTTCTTACGAATCAAAATATAATTCAAACAAGACACAGATTGAGACTGTAAATTTTCGACTTTATTACAAAGTCATCTTCACTTCTTCAGACAGAATTCTGTCTGAAGATGACTTTGTAATAAAGTCGAAAATTTACAGTCTCAATCTGTGTCTTGTTTGAATTATATTTTGATTCTCAAGATGCCTTGTTTATTCGGAAATTACTTTACTTTTTTAAATTGTCGGCTGGTCATGGCTTTTTCTTACATTTCACACGAAATAATAACACTAAGTACTATATAAATATGAAGTATTTTAACCAATTTTATACTGTACGTTGTACCTCTGTATTTTGTTTCCCAGCACTCCGCTGTTCAACAGGTTTGCTGTACTGTATTCCAAGAGATGCTTTTTTGGTATCAGGTCTGGCGAGAACTGTTCTCTCTATTTTACCAGTCGGCACCGTTTGCATACCAGTAGTGACCATGTCTGGTTTTCTCCTAACCTCTCGTCCCTCCTTCAGGGAAACAATGTTATTCTGTGTGATGGTTGGAATAAACTTTGTCGTCTGTGGAGAAGACATGGAGTTTACAATCTATTAAATTTTTAATAAAAATATTTTTCAATACATTATGCGCTGTGCACATGGAGTTGCGTGCATCCCAGGGCGGGTGATCATCGGATTGTCGGGTTTTAAAACTTTTAAACTGGTAAAATTTGATTTGCATTCTTGTTTCCGTCAACCCAAGACGGTTTAAGCCCGTTTTCCACTAGGCGAATTTATTCGCGCGACGCGAAGCGATATCTGAAATCCGGTGATAGGATTGGTTGGCGAACGAATTCGCAGCGAAAAAGTAGAATTACTTGATACTTTTTATCTGTTTACGCCATTAAGTCCCCCTAGTCGAAAACGGGCTTAAAAGGTTTCAACATAAAAAAACACATATTACTTAAAATAGCCCCCACCCCCACCAGGGTAGATCATAATTAACATACCTGTTTGTCCAACGTATTCAGACCAGAATGTCGCCCAGCACTCATGTTGATCATTGAGGGTCGACGTGGTGAACGTTCCGTTCTTGAATAATCAGAAGTGGACGGTATTTGCTAAAACATTGGCAGATGTACATCATGAAATGTTACATCATAAAAACTTGTTTAAAACTAAATCAGATTAGGTTTAGCAACATAACACATAAGAACTTTAAAAAAGTCTCTTCTGATCAATGAATATTGGTTATCCATAAATTTTGAGACATACACTGGTTATTTTACGTATCCTTTAAAAAAAATTTTGGTGTTAAAAAGCGTCTATATGATGGACACTTCAGTTGCACAATTCAGTAACTTCAAAAAATGACGTACATGATGGTGACTCCTTGAGAGGAGATCTTGTTCATTTGAATATACTTCTGATCTTGGTTTAATGTTCTGTTTTAGTTGTTTAACAACGTATTTCTATAAAAAATGCACTAGTCATTGATGGCGTAGGTTTATCAGAACTCCAGTTATGTGAGCAACTAACAAGATACAGTGAATTCATTGTGCCAAGCTGTACCAATTCTGTACATTTGTGCAGTAATCAAGACTTAGCCCATACATTAGGTAATACAAAGTTTCATTGTGATACCATGCAACAGGTAATTATCAAGACCAAGTAGGTTTATATTATTCGCTACCAACTAGAACCAATAATTACCAGCTGATAGTGACAAAACCCACCAAGCCTTGATTATCAGATGGCAGTGAAAAAGAATGCACTATAAGCCTTGATTACTAGCGAGTAACAAAATAAACTCACTGAGTCTGATTACGAGCTTTGAATAACTGGTACAATAGCGAAATATAAACTCACAGAGTTGTGATCACCAGCTAATATAGTGAGAAAAAACTCACCAAGCCTAAATTACCAGCAGGTAGTGACATAAACTCACAAAGTATTGATTACCTGCTGGTACCTAAATAAACTCACAAAGTATTGATTACCAGCTGCAGTAATCAAATTGATTAACCTGTTGGTGGTGAAGTAAACTCACAAACCCTTCATTAAAAAATGCATGGTATTAAAAAACTCATCAAGCTAGTTGCAGAATAAACTCACTAAGCTTGGATATTAATTATGCTCACCTGGTTTCAAAAAATAATTATATGCTAGCTGTAAGCCTTGATTACAATCTGGAATAACTATTATCAAGTCTATAGCTCAACCATATATAAAATTAATATATGATTCAATAATATATAGCACAAAAAAATGATATATGATTCAAGTATAAGCATGTACTGTAGCAATATGAGGGATACTTGATACTTAACTGTATAGTGTCTTATCAATAAAGTGAGTAAAAGTACGTACATATACTTTGCAAGAACAATTTGGGTCAACTATTGCACAAGCAGACCTAACTATATTATATTAGTTTAATTTGTTTAGAGAATTTCTTCATATATTAAAGAATAAGCCTATATCATTTTTGCATACATGTATATACAATATATTTACAGATTTGCTATTGTAGATGCTTACTTCAATTTTCTGCAATATTATATAATCATATATATATAATCATATATATAAATATATATATATATATATATATATATATATATATATATATATATATATATATATATATATATATATATATTATATACAGTATACATATGGTTAAGCCACCCTATGTATTATATATATGTATTATGATATAACTGAAGATTTAAACATGCAGACTGTACGTTGTGAACAATTTTTGGTAAGCTTGCAGTACTTCAAGTATTGTGTAAAACAAAGGAAATTTATTTATTTGAATAAATATAATATATTTTTTAAAGATATACAAAATGTACAGTATGTATACAAGAAACACCTGTGCATTATAATTACAAAAGTTTTGTATATACTTACCAAATTTACATCTCTTAAAAGTGAAATTGGATTGCAAGTTGCAAGAAAAATTGGATTGTGTAATGCACATATGGCCTGAATTCTATTCTAATACTATCTTAATTTAACTTTGATTTTTATGCAATATGTTTCTTGAACAGTAGATGAAAAAGAAAGATGTTAACTAGCTAGTCAACCTGCATGAACAAAGTTATGGGTTTTTAAGGATTTTCCTAGTCGATATTTGATAAACTGTAAATCAATCATTATTAATTTGAAAATTAAAATCCCCTGGAGCCCTGCTATTTTCACAAGGCCTAGGCCCTAGGTAGGGTAACTCAGGGTTTGGGACTTTGGGCTCCTATGATTCAGAAAACCAGCCATATTTCATAAAAGTAAATCAACCACACTAAATTTATAGCAATGTAGCTGAACTGCATCAGCATCCACTTGATACTTTTTCTTCTTATATTAATACATAAAAAAGTAGTTTTTCTATAAAAATTAAGTTGGGGCAGGTAATTCAATACCAAATCCCATGATACAAGCCATGTGATAACACAGGCTCTCTAATTTGCAGCTGTTATATTATATAAATTAAATGTACCCATGCATATCCCAAACAACAACATTAAAACTTACTTGTTTCTCACTGAGGCTAGTTAATTCAGCTTGAAGTGATTGGACTTTCTGTTGTATTTCTATGTTCTGAAAAAAAAATGCTTGCTCAAATTTCCCCCTACCAGCGAGATCAAAATGAATTGTAGTAAAAAACAAAACATAAACGTCTGCATGTATATACATATATATACCTGGGGATCTCTTTTCATTTCCTCTATTAAGATCTAAATAGAACATTTGGATACGTACGTCAATTTTGTTGGAAATGTTACAAGATCCTGCCCTAACGTGGTTTTGGGGGACCACACATACATAGTCGTTCATGCATATCTTAAAACTCGCTCACGGATAATATCAAATGATGTGCCAACCCCACAAAAGCAACCTGAATGTATTTTTTAAAAAAACGCTATCTATATACCCATAAATACATTACAAATCTTTTAAAAAGCAAAGAGAAGCATATATGGAAAAAAGCGTATCAATATTTTAGGACTTATTTCTGCATTTTTTCAATTGAATATGTGAAGTCCATATGTCTATATGGACAAATCTCTGACGATAACATGCCGAGCGCATAACCTATATAGACGTTTATATATTTTCATGTTAGCTAGTTACGTACCTGATGTTGATGAATATGGCTTTTTAACTGGGCCTGGATTTTTTCTAAGTCCATTATCCAACCTAAACTGTGAGATCGACAAACAATATTCGGATAAAATAAAATTGAAGTAATATAACTTTGGATATTGCAGCAATGTAAATTCGTATTCCTTTCCGCCTCTAGGGAAACTCTATTTCCGAGTTTCACCCGGGAATCTCCGAAGCAACGACATGTAGTTAGGGTACTAATCTCGTATTACGAAAAAAGTACATAGGTTTACTTATAAATTGTTCACTTTTTCATCTCTTTCGGTAAACTTTTTAGGTACAATTTACTCTACGGGTTCCACACATTAGCAGAAAATACTATATAACTGCTAAATACCTCTGCAATTTATTCACGATCAGTCACCAGGCGAAAGAATAAATACCTGGGGATATAGCGCCGGGGTGGAATAACTTCAAGGGAACGTGATTCCTGGCACCTTGGTGTATGAATTATTAGAGGGAAAAGGGCAATTTACACTTCAAACAGCTGAATATCTGAATTTTAACCTGACAGCACAATTTGAAATAAAACTATCTTCATAATGGCGAAACGAGGAGCCGCTGTTCAGTTGACAGACAGAAATTGGGACGAGGAGGAGGAAAATGAAGTGGTATAAATACCTTTATTATTTCAATATTTATTTCAAGTATGCCCACGCTGTCCCTGTAATAGATATACATATTGTTTCAGTATATTAACACGAGATGTGTTAGGTGTGAATATAGAGTCAGAGAGGCAAAGTTTGGCTTTTTCTTCTCAGAATTTCAAAGCAATTAAAGATCACTGAGCTGCAAGAAACATCTGCAATAATCAAGCATGCAGTCAAACACTAATCAATTTATAGCTAACAACAGTCATCAAGCAATATAGCCAATGATTTATCTAGAAATTAATTATACAAATCTAAAAATTTACCTAAAAATTCATCCACATGCCTTCATGCCTTGGCTATTTGGGCTTCAAATTTTAAAAGATAAAAACCCATCCAGATCTGTCTATATGAATGATTGGGAATACATGCAATTAATCTAGTTTGCAAAGTTTGGTGGGATTTCTTATTTCTTGAAGTTTAAATTTTCAATTTATTCTTTCTTCTACATGAAAAACAATCCAGTCAGCCAATGTGAAATGTGGTGGAAATTAACAAACAAAAGTTTTGCCAATCTCAATTGGTTCAGTTGGCTTTGCCAGCTACTTTTCACTAAAGTAAAAAAAACAATATCTATTTTAAGACCTATATTATGTTTTCCTCACATTTCCTAACAGTCCCAACTGAAGTAAATAAAAAAAATCACTATTTAACTTCACGTTTATTTTTTTTTAGGCAGGCCACTTTAAAGTTGCTGATGATGATCAATTGAGCAAACGAGTGTATGTAAAAATAAATTTTTGGTTTCTTATATAACAGCTGTTCTTACATTATAGTTGAGCTATTTACTCCAATTCAAACCCAATCATTTCCTATTGAAAAAAACCTAGGGAGTAGCCTGCACTGCCTGAAATAGACAAAAACATCTACATCTACACTTATTAGGTCGGTAAAATCCTATTGGATATCACACCAACCATTAACACCTTGACCTAGGGCTTTTCGATCGTCAGGAGAGTTAACTTTCTCTCTCCATTTCTCTCTCTCCTTATACTCTCTCTTGTGACAAAGGTCCTGTAGGTTGAAACATTGAGAAGTACTGTTTTTAGGAAAGAATACAATAAATCACTATATTTTGATAATATAACCTTGGAATAATGGATAATTAGTGCATAGATTTCAGTTTTAGTGCATAATGTATATATACAAGACTATGTTGCGTTATGTTGCGTTAATGTAGTATTCCAACAACTATAAACTATTGGCAATTTAAGACCCTTAGGTTTAAACAGAGAAATTTTAGGGAATGTACCAGACTCTAGTTAATTGATAGTGACTTAAAACTAATTATAACATTTCCAATGTTTTGCGTAGATAAGTTTCCATTATTTTTTTAGTTGTGATGTTCTAAATGGTTTAGTAAATTTAAATGTGGTCTGATTTTTAGAATAAGAAAGGCAAAAAGACGTGTTACAGGCAGTGATGAAACAGTAAGATGTTGCTAGTATAAGTATATAACCATGGCAAGCAGACAATTTCGGAAAATCCAAGTAAAACAGATTTTTATCTTTGGAATCTGTTTTATTTTGTATAAATTTGCTAGTATAACATAACATAGTATTGAATCATGACTTGCAGCTAAGTGACAAATGTCAGGTTTCTTAAAGCACTGCAAGAACAATTTGCTTAGTTTTTTATGATCATGGAGTCCACTTGATGCAGATCCCAGCCAGATGTGTGATGAAACAGATTGTGTTTCAGGTAGCCTTCTCCACATTGGGCTTGGGTTAGCTGCATCAAGGAATACAAAGAGACATAGACCTTATGCATAATGACATATCAAGCTGTGACACCTGCAGGGAATTCTGGTTGGTAGTCATGCATGGCAAAAAATTCAAACTTCAAAACTTCCCACCGTGACTAGTACTGACTACTAAGACCAGAATTCCCTGCAGGTGTCACAGCTTGTTACGTCATTATGCATAACGTCTATTAGACCAGCTGGGGAGGTTATGTTTAAAGTAGCTTTTTAACCTCTTCACATGTTGCACATAAGCTGGTACCTAAATATGCTTGCCTCACAAGGAGACTTCTAATTTTATGCACGTATTTTCATATACATTTCGCTTGGTAGCGGTGCTCTCCTGTTTCCAGGACTCCCGAAAGCAGAGTTAATTATAATGTAGCTTGACCTTATCTTATGCGTGCTGGTGTTCGTAGTTACAGTACTTAATGTTACAAATGCGTTTTGTCTCTCTCCTTAGTCGGGAAGTTTTAAAAGCTTTCAAGGATTTGGTGTCCCACAAAATTCATCGACACCAATGATCAGCAATGCGCCAAATACTTTGTCTTTGACGGGATTTAAAGGCTTTGGAAATGGAAATGAAAAGAAAGGTAATTATCATCGGGTATATTTGTAAATATTTATAGCCTATAGGATATATTTATCTATTATCACTATTAGTATTGTCTTTAGAAAATAATAATGCGGTAGTCAATAAAGAATAAGAACAGTTTTTGTTTGTTGACTGGTCATTTTAAACACTTGTATTTGATAATCCACTTGGTCCATTTATTTAATAGCTGCTGCATTTATATGATATATAACGCTTGGTTTCTATTTGATCAAACTCCTCCACCTTCAACTTTCAATAAACAAATCATACGCAAAACTACACTATCAAAATTGAAACACTTTTGTAGATAATGCACAAGTAGCGACATCGGACTTGAATTCTGCTTATATGACTCAACTCAAGAGATTGAACCAAGAAGTTTGTGAGTGGATAAAGAAACATATCAATGAAAATCCGTACGTTGATTTAACACCAGTCTTTAAGGATTATGAAAAACACCTGGGAAATCTTGAGAAGAAATTCCCTGCTGCCTGCAAGCCCGTGGAAATGAGTAACATTTCCCCGAAAATTACAACATCTGGTGGAATGAGTTCTAGTGTTGTTCATAGTTTTAATGGAGGTAAGTCATTCACTGGTCAATTTCATAATCATTGACGATTATGAAAATTTTGGAATATAAGCTATAGAATGCATTGAAGGGGCATTGCAGCTGATGGCTTGAAGCTAATTGCCATGCGATTTCCTAATGCGCCACGCATGTGTTACAGTAAATGAGAAAATTAATGACAACACAGCATGATACAGTGATAGTTGATTTGCAAAGATATTTCATGTGTTACGATATGATGTTGTGTTTTATTACAATTTCCAGGTACAACTACAAATTTAAGCCGAGCTAATGACGTTAAACCTCCCGAAAGTTGTGAATCGTCAGATGACACACCACAGAATATCCAGAGTCAAGCTAAAAGGTGAGAATATATTGCATGAACCATAGCGGACTAATCTGACAGCAAAGTTTATATTCATACTGCTGAGGAATTCTATTCTGCAGGCAATGCATTTATTAGTATTGTATTAAACATCGCGGTAATATAGATTATCTTTAAATCAGTTTATCTTATAAAAACACGCAAGATTTCAAATATATTTTTTTATAATCATGTTTAGCACACCGGAGGAAGAAGCGTTTTATTCAATTCGCTGTAAACTTTTCTTCAAACGGGACAATGACTGGTCTGAACTTGGCGTTGGAACGTTAAGTTTAAAGAAAATTACCAGGGAGAAAATTCGGGTGTTAGTACGTAATGACACAGCATTGAGCAAGATACTTTTAAATATCTTCGTTAGCAATGAAACTCCCACATCACGCTCAGGAAACAATGTTTTACTCATGAGTGTCCCCAACCCGCCTGTTTTTGGCAAGGAAGGTGATAACACAAAGCCTGTCAGTTATCTCATTCGTGTAAAAACGTCAGAAAAGGCAGATGAATTACGAAACAATTTAAAAACATCTGAAGATTAGATCATTTTGGTGAAGCTTTTGTGACATTTCCTGTGGAGGTCCATGAACAGAACGCGATGTAAATAACAGATCCTGCTTTCTACGTGCAATTCCTTAACAGAACAGAAGTTAGAATATAGTTTTTGCAAACTGTTTATCATCACTTAATGATACCATTAAAGAAACCGAGTTCATTTATAACACTTTATAACAAAAGAAATATTTTGATCAAATTTGAGAAATATTTTAGCGTAGATACTGTATTTACATCAATTTGGCATGGTGTATTTATTTTTATGTGCACGATGTAGTAATCCTGTTCAGTAAAAATTAAAACTAAAAAGAAATTAAATCAACATCATTTAGTCCGTCGTTGAATTTATCGTGTCACTCAGTGAGTGTAAATATGCACATTGTCATTGACTTTGTGCGTTACTGTCCTCAATTGTGTACGATGTGCCGAATATATACCCTGGACCTGGTCGTTGTGAAAAATGTTGAGACGTCACTTATTGCGGAGATTTCAGGTGGATAAACCAAATATACCGTCACAACTCGGCTATCGTTCAAACCTACATGCATCATTGACAATGTAGTCATGACTCATGAGGAGTTTTATCACGGAATCAATCTTTTAATAGCATCATAACCAAGATTGACATTCGATTCACGCGATGCATTAGTCAAAATTTCACTAAAAATTAAATGCGAAATTGGCGTAAAATAGGGCTAGTCTATGGAAAGGTATTGAGTATATAACACGTTAAAAAAATAGTGATGGTCAAATATACCTGAATATGGTAACTCAACCTTGGCATGGTCGAGTATACCTAAATAGGTATACCTTGTTGTATGGTCGAATAGTACCGAATAACCGAAATATGGTATATTCGACCTTGCTATCCTGGAATGTGCAGGAATATGGTATATTCGACCTTGCTATCCTGGAATGTACAGGAATATGGTATATTCGACCTTGCTATCGTCGAATGTACAGGAATATGGTATATTCGACCTTGCTATCCTCGAATGTACAGGAATATGGTATATTCGACCTTAATATAAAAATATACACGCGGAGACGACAAGTAAATAACCACCTATTAAAACCCTAAACACCATTGGCATTGTAAAAGGCTAAAAGCGAATAGTTTTTATTATTTTAAATTAAATTATATAGCGTAAATAAAAATGTAGAATAAATTTTACTTATCTAAAGATGTCTTTTAAGTTTTTTCGTTGTATTTCCAGCGTAAAGTTCGTTTTAAATACGAACCAAAGACTGTTTGTATTTCACAGCAACAACCATTGGCAACAACAAACAAAATAGCGGGAAAAAACGGTCACTCCTAAACTCCGTGACATACGTAAAAAACGCACACCGTACCCGGTGGCCGGTATCACTAATGTAGTGGAGGCGTAAGATATACGAGTGTTTTAGTAAATAATAAACGTATAATAATAAACAATATCTAAAATCTAAAGTCTGTCAATTACCAAAGAGATAAATTTTGAACCGCACGCACTGCAAGGTCTTCATACAGGACAAACAGCCTTCGTACAGGAGCGAGCCTCCGCCTGTATAGAATTCCCATGGGAACGAGATATTTGGCACTCACTGAGCTACATAAAATAATTGGTATCAACCAGTGGTATCAACCCGAACCAATGACCCGAAAACTTCCTCAGGCAGCACTTCATATGACCGGCTTCTATAACCCAGTTTCATAAACATTAGAAATTTACAAGAGGAAATCTGGATTCTGGAGGAAATTTACCAATTTCTTCGTTTAGTAATTGTGAATATAAAAACTATATGGAATTATCTATGATAAGTTGTCCAAGTTGGTCACATCACTGAGTCACATGCCAGTGATGCCACTGTCACATGCCCTCAATGGTCACATCCACATCCACTGGTCACAATTTCTGGTCACATCACATGCGCTTTCATTCTCGTCCCCAGGGTCTTCGGGTACTTCGCATTTCGGTCAACCCGCAAACCCGCGACACCTGAAATATTATTTTTAAAACATTACGTAACGTAAATACAAAAACAACATCGACACCTAGTGTTAGAAGACAAACTTTACGATAGAAAATTTGGACAAAATTTTAGCCGGGTCTTTTTTAAAATTATGGGGATTGATTCTACATTTAAAGACGCCATTGGTTAGTAAAAAATATGAAAATGTTCTGGTGTATAAAGGCAAAGATATTTGATATATAATTTGAGGTTTACATCCGTTATTATCGGTTATGCAATTTTTGCCCTAACATCGTTGTATTTGTATTTAAAGTATTTTACGAATACGGCTTATTGTCTAATGATATTATGAATAGCAAGAAATGTGACAAAGACAAAATGTGTACTGATAAATTCAATTTTTTATTGACCAAAAATTGTTTTCAACCTACCAGCAGTGTATCATATATACCCATCTCTTTGACTTTGATGAACGAAAGAGCCTACAACAATGCATCCAAGCATCTATTAGAGCACATTCCAGGAGTCAAACACAGTTCATCTTAAAAATTACCTAATTAACTTCCAATTTGAAAGCTAGGTGCATAAAACATGGTGTTTTCTACAAATTGAAGATTTAATTATGCCTATAATATGTTATTTAACTCCATTGGTACACTATGTTCTGACTTTAAACCAATTATAGAACGTGCCACAAGTCCTACCCTAGTAGAACCGGACTGGGCTGCCATTCTGCAAGCATGTGACAGTATACGACAAAAAGATGTCACGTAAGTGCTTAGTATTTCACTCATGTAAATCTATTATGGTTATGGTGTCAAGAACAACCTTTTCATGTTTCATTCAAATTTCTAGGGGTAAAGTTGCTGTCAGTGAAATTCGAAAAAGAATATTTGACTCCAATCCACATGTGGCAAAGAATGCACTTATTGTAAGCTAGAAAAAAGGTTATGCTGTGATAAAGGTTGCATAAAATGTTAAAAAGTAAAAATTTTCTCTTTTCATTTTAGACTTTAGAAGCATGTGTGAAAAATTGTGGATCTGTAATTCATGATGAGGTTGCCACCAAAGCAATGATGGATGATTTTCGTCAGCTTGTTAATGTATGTATTCAGTTGTCTACAAGAGCTGGTTGTTTAGCTTAATTAAACAGACTGGATAAGGCTACTGGATACTCTCATACATAGATCTCTGACTTAAAGTCACAAGCAACTTAATCTTAATCTAAATAACATACTAAAAATTTAACCATCTACATTAAAATATTTCTTATTGATTTGTTATCTGGCAATACAATCTACCTAGTTATTTACACAACAACAACAACAACAACAACAACAATGCTACTAAATTTATTTTCATAGGTATGTCCAGAAACTGTTAAGACTGAAGTGTTGAGAATCATCAATGCCTGGGCATATGGTTTTCGTAATGAGCCTAAATACAGGATAGTTGAAGATACTAGAAACTTGATGAAAATGGAAGGTGCATGTCAATAAAATATATTGATTGATTTTATTACTTGTTGCAAAAACAAAAATATGCCTGTGTTTGCTCACACAAGAAAATATGTTTAAGGTTTTGAATTCCCTGAAAGAAATGAGAGTGATGCAATGTTCAGTGCTCTAAAGGTAATAGGGAAATTTTATGAAAATAAGGTCATTAAAGAAACAGGTTAACAATGCTACTGTGATCATTCCAGTTCACTGGACCACTCATTCTCAGGAAAAACTCCAAGGGCGGTCCGGCAATAACTGAATAAGTTGTTTTTCAATTTCTGTTCAAGGCTCCAGATTGGGCTGATGGAGATGTGTGTCACAGATGCCGTGTGAAATTTGGAACATTTACCCGACAAGTAGGTTTAATTCGATAGAAAAATAAACAGGACATATCATCAGAGCTAGGTGCGATACTTTAATAAAATACGTGTTCAAATGGCATATATGTCAATTTTGTCAAATGTTAATGTTTAGTGCATTTGTATTTCAAAAAACCATTCACTATTAAAAATGATGTTTAATGTGTTGTATGTATATTTCTAGCACCACTGTCGTTGCTGTGGTCAAGTATTTTGTGCAAAGTGTTCATCAAAAAACTCAGTTATTGCAAAATTTGGTATTGAACGTGAAGTCAGAGTCTGTGATCCATGCTATGATCAGCTTAACCCCAGTGAAGCAAAGTAATTATCATACATTATAAATATAAAGTTTTGATTTTGTGTTTTGGGTAATGACGATAAAATATTTCTTACAACAGAGCCTCCTCTGCAACAAGTCAACCACCAGCAAAAGGGAAAGGCAATGGTGATTTACCTCCAGAGTACTTGAACAGTTCCCTTGCTAAAGAGTCTCAGGTATATAATTAATCCAAAGTAAATTTTAACCATAAACACCTTGCATCATAAACACCTGTGCCAGGTTATAAACTAACTAGAAATGAAATAGTGGAATATTATTTAACAACATTATTGCCTCTATAAGGTCCCAGAAAAGAAATCAGATGAGGAAATAAAACGTCAAGAACAGGAAGATCTTCAATTAGCAATGGCTTTGTCTGTATCTGAACAAGAAACAAAACAGGTGATACAGTAAGAAATTATGTAAAAATTGCATGGTTGGTAGCTTTTAAAGGGACAATCAAACCATTGCCCTGTCAAATAAGTAAGCTAGAACATTCTAAAATTTCCTCTAGTGTTCTATCATTAATTCATGCAGGCATATTCATATATTATTTGTTGCTCTAGTTTAGTGTACTTTCCTTTCATAGAAGTCATCATCGCAATCATCAAGAATTTATGATGTTGTGGAAACAAGGCCATCAGCACCAGCCAAACCATCAAGTTATAGCTATACATCTTCTGTATGTATAATTTTGAACAACAATTACTAGTTGAGCAGAGCACCTACAGAGCATCTACACCTACCTTTTAAATTAAATGAATTTTTATCACATTTCATTACAATTAGCCAATGGAAGAAGTGGGCCCCAGTGATTCTGAGGTAGAGTATTTTCAAAGTTCTTTTCAAACTGGAACTGAAACTTCGTCAACCTTCATGCCATCACAATTAAATAATTGATCAAATAATTATAAATTATTGAGCTAGGATCCCATTGTTTTTCTTGCTGCTGTTCTAGTTGGATCGCTACCTGAACAGGTCTTATTGGGAAAAAAGAAAAAAAGAAGCTTCACCACCAGCTTACACATCTCCAACACATGAAGAAGAGTCTCCTGTACCCACTTCAACTTATAATGGAGAAACCATTGGGAAAGTATGTTCAAAAAGACTTGCACCAATGTTACACAAACTCCTCAGAATATTGGCTTGTTGAGAAGTTGTTCATAACTGATTTGCAATTTCCTACAAGGAATATGTTACAGCATGATCAGAATGGAAAAATACATTTTGGCTTCAAAAAATGTGTGTCTGCATGTCATAACAAAAGCCTCAAAACTGTGTTTTTAGACAAAACAGGATTCAGAATGCGAAGCTTTTATGGCCACATTCCGCAGCAATGTTGAGAAATTAATGGAAAGAATGAAATATGTGGCAGGAAAAGGCAGGCATATATCCTCCGACTCTATTATACAGGTAATACGATCATAGCACACACTAGTAAAGTTAGTATTCTTTGTCTTCGTAAAACATCTGTGATGCCTGATGGTAAATAATACTATTTGCAGTCATTGTACCAAACGGTCAGTGCGATGCAGCCACAACTAATGAATTACATCGAGCAACAAGAACGGCAAAAAGGTATCAAGAATTTCTTTCGTTTTAATCATGTAATAATGAAATACTGGTTGAAATTTAGCACCGAAAACTTATCCCTGAAACTTGTTTCTAATAATGTTATCACTCGACAAGAAAAGTTATGAACTTTTTCTTTAGATACGTACGAGATGATGGAGGAAAAACTAGGAGTTTTACAGGAAACAAGACGTTCACTTGATGAAATGCGAGTTCAACGACGCGAGAAATTACGACAACAGGAGCTGGAACAAGACATGTTACGTCGCATGCAAATGGAACAAAAGATGGAATTGTTAAGACAACAGAAACAAGAGTATTTGCTTTATCAGCAGCAGCTGCAAACACAAAGGCAACAAGCATTGGAACAGATGGCTAAAGGTACGACGAAACATTTTAATTTACATAAATTTGCAGCGTTTAACTGCCCAATCGTTTCCTTTGTAGAGCAAGCAATGGGGGGTCAAGTGTCATCTTATGGCGCATATCAACCTTCTCGCCAAGTAGCTGGGGATCAACCAGCGCCACCTAACTATCAATCACTAACCCCCAATGTCCAACCACACCCCGGCCAAAGACAAGGTCAACCACCTTACCAACCAGGAAATCAATACGAAGCTCCAAACTCACAATTTCAGAATTTGTCATTGCAAAATATACCCCCTGTCCCTAATCCAGCACAACCTGCAGGAAACCCACCTCAAACACAGAGTATTATAAGTCAAGGGCAGACAACACATTACCTTCAACCCTCGACACAAGTACAACAAGACCTGCAGTTAAGACAACCAACTCCAGGAAGCCAACCTAATCAGTACCAAGTCGTGAATGAAGGGCCAAGACAAGGACAGAGCTACGCTATGGGACCAGATTACCCTTCAAGTGGACCAATGTCATATCAAAATCAACCCCAACAAAACATGTATACCCACACACCTCCTTCATCTGGACCACCCTCAATGGAGTCTTATTCATCTGGACCAAACTCATTACAAGATAACATGACTGGAGGGGTCACTCACGGACAACCTCAATCATTCACAGGGCCACCACCAACGCAAACTCAACCCCCACAGCCATTCCCCCCAGGTCAAGGCACAACACCAACGCAGCAGTTTCAGTCACAACAAGTTCCACCACCTCAGCTAAATCAACCACAATTCCAGTTGCAACAGCACCCTTATTCTCAACATGCAGCCCAATCACAAGGTCCACCTCCTCAACAAAACATACAATCCCAAGGACCTCCTACACAGAATTCCCAAATAACACAATACCAAGGAGGTCAACCCTCCCAATCAGCCCCTCAAGGCTCAGGAGCATCATCTTTACAGTACCAAAACCAACCAGTGGACCCCACCTATCAACAAACTGCTGGGCAACAGCCATGGGTGCAGGGCCCAAATGGTAACTACCAACAACAGCCACCACCACCACCACCACCACCCTCGTACGGAGATTACGAACCAGTTCAACAACCGTATAACCAACAACAATACGGCCAACAACAGTTTTATGAGCAGAATGTTGCTGAAACCCCGCTTATTTCCTTCGATTAAATTAAACTATAGCTATAACCAGAGGCTATTATATCCCATAAACCCCATATATATATATACAATAAATTGTAGCATTATATATTTAAATTTAAAATGAACGATTCTCAGTTGATTATTGAAGAGTATTGTGATAAACATGGATGTAACAGGAATAATGTTTGAAAATAATGTTAGATTAAAAACGTTATTTGTCATCTGCGCTTTCCTTATTTTATTCATCTGATGTAAATGTTTCTTAGAATTTCAAATGCAGTTAATTTCAACCTCAGTTTAATGTAAACGAAGCGATATTTTATCCGGTACCTTAATTTGGATATTCTATTTCGTACTTTTGCTTTTTGCAGTCTTTACCACGCAACATAGCTCCATTCTGATGTGTTTTTAATAACGTCACTCTAACCTGCAATATTTTCTCTTCTTGTGCCTTCGGTTCATTTAGCACGCACGACTCTGGATGTAGTAAGCCAGAGTTGGAAACCCTCCAGTTGTTAGACAATTTCCAGCTTATGTTCGTAGAGTGCCCGGCTGCGTTCCACGAATGAACCAACATGCCCCCTTTCGTTCGAGCCCCAACTCCTGGAAACCGAAAATGATGTAAACAAGGAATTCCCAAATCATCAATTAGAAAACACGACGTATATATATATGCACAGTCTCGGTAAGTTAACCTGGGCCAAAGAGTAGATATATATGATTATACTGGTGTTTTTTTGCGTAAAGACTGTTCGTTTTCATTTATGATTCGTTAACCAGCAAATACCAGAAACAGAAGCGGTTGCATCCCCTCCTACAATTTAAATTGGTGCCGTTCGAGAAGTTAATGGAGACAGCAACGTAAATATTCGAACACAAATATCAACTGCGATCATGCGTGAAATAATAAAAATCCCTTACGCAAATAATATCAGTATTCTGATATTTAAAAACATGGTTGCTTCATTTTATGAATAGTCCACAATCCGTGACGGACTTATCGAGTTAATTATTCTTCTAATTCGTCTAATGTTCTTTCTAACATGTTGAGGTATTTCTACCCGTTTCTTTAACTGTCATAATGCAATACACTTCATGCAGAATTTGTGAGATCATCCTTGTGAGTACAAAAAGCGCGAAACAATGTGTTGCTACTTAAAATGATAAACTTGTATTCCAACAATACTAATATTCCAACGATTTTAAATGAGTTAGTTAAATTAGGGACTATCCTACTTAGTCATTAGCGATCAGTGAATAAGTGTGAATTCTACCTGTATAACTTTGTTATACTCCGAGGCGGTGGGTGCAGTGCCGAGAACCTGTCGTGATTTTTCCATGATCATTCTTCGCTGAACAGAGAAAGCTCCGTGAAACATGTCCAGTATGACGCTTCGATACTACAGAAGAAAACGGAAAAAATTCAAGTATCTTTGCTGGCAGCACATGGTAACCCAGGTTATTAGGTGTATTATTATGATCCAGTTATATATAAGTCAGGGTTAAACTACATATAACGCGGGCGCTCACAAACCTTGTCTAAGGGACTGCCAAGACTTCGAACGACAAAAATTCTACGACTATTTAAATCTGATGGATATTGTGATGTCGTGGGCCACTAGAAAAAGAAAACGGTGTGAGCACAACACTTGTTCTTTTTTTGAGGAAACTATATTTCTAGTTGTCAAAAACTTGTCAAAACGTTGTATTAATCTGGTTATTTCATGAAATTGCACCCAACAGGAACTATCTAATTTTTAAAACTTCTATAAATGAAGTTTTGTTACCTTAAGATCAATTTCTTCTCCATCGCATTTAGCAATTGCTTTTAAAAGTAATGAATCTGTAACACCAGAAGAGAGCACATCTTCTTGTGACCCCGCTAGATAACGAAGAGAAAAATAATTCTACGTAAAGTATTCACGTGTTTTGAACTAAATTCATAGTATCATGACAGAAATAAATTGATAATGAATGACTCGTATAAAAGTGCAGAGGATGTTTACGACATTATGAATGGATCTCGTTTTCACGAGATTTACTGAAGACTCTGGCCGTTGTAGTTTTCGTTACAACAGTTGAACTCACCTGAGTGATGATGAAGTAGCAGGAGTTTTTTAAATTCTGCTAAGCTTAAACTGCTTGTATTCAGTTTGTCTTTGACAAATTTCACAAGATGATTTAATAATTTTTCTTCATCCTGCGGTGAGAGTTTAGTTTCTGTGTCTTTGACGACGAGTTCTTTACAAGCATTCTGATTTATCTGTGTTTCAGAAATACTGGGCGAAGGCTCGACTGCACATTTGACTTCAGGTGGGCGGCTGGTGGTAGCATTAGTCTTGGTTACTTTGACTTCGTCTTAACAGCAGAGAATTAAATATACATACAGTAAGTCATACACAATCATATTCATCCCTACTGAGATTGTGATACCTGAGTTGTCGACCTCGTTCTTTAAATGATACCTCTCAGAAAGACTATAGGAATGAAGATTGAAGTGTATAAATATGTATAAGCTGTATCTTTGCACTCTGTATAATGTAGGAACGAACATGCACATAATTCCGACTCTGTATAATGTAGGATAGGAACAAACATATAATTTGCACTCTGTATAATGTAGGAACGAAGACATAATTTGCACTCTGTATAATGTAGGAACGAACATATAATTTGCATTCTGTATAATGTAGGAACGAAGATATAATTTGCACTCTGTATAATGTAGGAACGAAGATATAATTTGCAGTCTGTATAATGTAGGAACGAACATATAATTTGCACTCTGTATAATGTAGGAACGAACATATAATTTGCATTCTGTATAATGTAGGAACGAAGATATAATTTGCACTCTGTATAATGTAGGAACGAACATATAATTTGCATTCTGTATAATGTAGGAACGACGATATAATTTGCACTCTGTATAATGTAGGAACGAAGATATAATTTGCACTCTGTATAATGTAGGAACGAACATATAATTTGCACTCTGTATAATGTAGGAACGAAGATATAATTTGCACTATGTATAATGTAGGAACGAACAAAAACACAGATGAAATTTCATTTATGTCTAATTTTAATAAAATCTTACGTTTGATACTTTGTCGTCCAGAACGATGACTGTTGTTTTACAACATCGCCAAACCTGTGAAATAAAGAAGAAAATTATGACAAACAGAAGAATCGATTATGGCTTTCCATGCATGCAGGATATTAATGGACTGCTTACTTTTGAACAAAATCTTGGTCGTAAGGCAGCTTGAATTCCCAGCCAACGTTGACGATTCTGGTCGCAACCTATAATAATAAAATAATATCGTCTAGAGGTTGCACATTTTAAAAAGAGTTAACAACTCTCTTTCTCCTTTAACTAAACCATTACCTAGAGCTGAACTAATTCTCACTTGTCAATTGACATATTAAACTCTAAAATGATACTGCACTAGCTGTCACTACATTCAGATTTATAAAAGGGTTTATTTATATCACTGGTTTATACCTGCTGTAACAGATCATTCACATCATTCACTGTCAGCTAAAAAGAAAAAAAATACAAGTTACAGTACAACAATGTTGTACTAAACTAAATTTAATCGTGAAAATCTAACCTTGACCACAGAAATCACGTCGCTTCTTTGAACGATACGAGATTGGGTGAATCTATAAAGCTTAAAAATATAAATTGGATTGAGTATACGCATTTATATAATAACGTAAAGAATTCAAGCAATTTCATTGGTCGAGAGCCATGATCTATAAGAGGACAGACGCACGGAATGACGTCACAGCAATTTTCTTGTTTTTTTTTCAGTTTTATTATATAAAACAAATAGATTACAACTCGCCCCGGCGGCTCGTGGCCACTTTTTTTGTTCTTATCACATATGACGTCATACCGTGTATCTACAACTGAACAGACAACAATAATCTATTTGTTAAATATTGAATATACGAATTGTAATGCAAGGAATCTTCGAGTAAATTTCATTACTTACGATGTAGTCTCTTGCTACACATAATGTCTCTGATGTTGAGGAGCTGAAAGCACTTGTTTTTCCTTTTGGATAAAGTAGTTCACTACAGGGAATGATAAAAATTTTCAAATAACTTAATAATAATAATAATGGGAAAAGAAATGTTGTAGTTTTGTATGAAGAAACGAGCGTCTACGTATGAGCAGATCTTGCGTCGTAAAGTGAGATAATGCTACATTACATACCTTTTAACAACCCAAGATCCTTGAACAAGAACTGCATGTTGCTGTAGACATTTCAACACAGTAACGTCGTTTGCTGGAGGAAGCAATGCCTTGGAGATCTCCGAGAATGTCATTAATTTAGCTGCAAGAAATCCAATCAGAGGCGGCGCCACGGGGAGGACTGGGGGGGGCCTTTTCCCCCCCAGTCCACCTCCAAATCAATTTTCCAATTCGCTCATAACCGATGAGAAATATAGGGGGGGGGGGCAATGTTGTGGTTTTATTTATATATTAGCAATATTTTATACGAAACAAGAGACACAAGGTTGTGGCATTTTTAATTATATAACTTAACGACCTCTTGAACTTTAGAGCTGCTTCAGGCGTTTTTTTGCACAAGATAAAGCAATGATTGATTGAATCGTATATTATCCAAATTTAATAAGTTATTTTGCAATTAAGCGTGTCGGAAATTGTTCTCCCGAAAGTGTTGATTTATGTAGGTCTCCTTGGCTAGCGCAACATATGCTTATTAGCTCGTCGGCACGCAAGTGAACAAGTTACGAAAGTAATATATAGAGAATAAATATGTTTGAAGGGAGAGATCCATCGAATGAAAACGTGTGTGAGGCAAATAGAGCCTTTATTCTTGAGTCTGGACCGGTGAGACCCGCCATAGACTTTCCACCATCGCCAATAGGGGAAGAAACTTTAAGTTTCAGAAGAAATGGTACGAAGAATATTCTTGGCTAGAATATTCGGTCGCTAAAGACGCCGCGTTTTGTTTTTCTTGTAGATGTTTTGGCCAACTTGGTAAGAATATACTTATATATACATATTTATATATATTTGTGATATTAAAAAAAAGATTATTATGTTGATATATGTATACAGTATTAATACAGTATATAGTGTGATCCTCTCAATTATGCTATACGCGAATCACGCAAGTACCCGAATCACGCAACTGCGA